TATATCTTGAAGTACCTTTTCTTGACCAGAATCAAATGATGTTTTGGGGTCTGTCGGCAATACACTGGTGAAAATAGACGATTTTATAAGCTCGGTTCTCTGAGCTCTGCCTAATACCGCCTCCGTTCATGTCTTCCTCACTCCACCTCCTGCCGTCACGCCCGCAGTGCTCCCCGATTGACATCTTTAGCGCTACAGAGTAAATACACCATTGCCTCTTCCCGATGACAGAGTCCTCACACCTGTGACACTGAGAAGAGTTGTCAGACTCAAGTGACGCCGAAGCTAAGGAAAACACTGCCAGTCAAGTCTCAGAGTAATACATATCACCTAGAATTAGAGCAGACCGTACCTGGGAAACGCAGTAAAACAAACACTTGGTTAATAGTTTGTACAGCACACCCATGGCTAGTGCTCTGGACTCAATGGCTCCTGCAATATATGATATTATTCAAAGTGCCATATTAAGAGTTGATAGCCTTCAAGAGCTCAAAATTGGTAAAATGTAAAAAATCGATGTCTCAGGCGAAGTGATGACCACGCTGACACCTACTGACATGGACCAGAGAAAAATTATGGGAATAGCCTCTCCACCCTCCCACGCGAACGTTAATGTAACCAGCGAGATGAAAAGCATACCGTGGAATCTGATCTCTATTGAGAATAGTCGACTTTATGAGCCCGGTTCTCCGAACTCTGTCTAACTCGTATCTAACTGCTCGGCAGGACATGCCAGGCAGATGCCTTCATGAAACCCGGCATGTTCCCCAAAAAAGGGAGTTGTGTTCGGTGGAGCTTACGCTGAGAAGAGGACAGGGATGCCCTGGAAAGGGTACGATAGTTGGCGTCAACACCAACATCGATCAGCTGATGACTACTAAACCACATTTGGATAACAGACCAGTATGCATTTTCATGGTGACATCAAACCATATACACGGCAAGGACCACGAAAAAAAGATCTAGGGGACGTGGGCAATATTTCTCACTTAGGTGACTTTCTAGGATTCGCTCCCTTATTAGCATCCACGCTCGAAGTTTTACTGTAAATGACAAGACATTGGAAGGGTACGATTTCCAAGCCCTAGTCGTTACGTTTTGGTCGAGAGAAACGCTCTATGCACACGTTGGCAGGAGTGCGGGAGCATTGCTCAAATAGTCCGCATGTTGGCGTGATTTGAGATTGGCTGGGTTTCTGTCTTACAAGAAGTAAATTTTCAGTCCAAGAGACTGACCAGATTAAGTCATTGCTCAGTGTTAGCGTATGGCTGGAGGCGTTCGTTCCTTACAGGTCACCTATTCTGTAGAAGTACTGCTATCAAAGTTCTGGTCTTAGTTCGGTATCCCATCTGTGTCCAGCTTACAAGTACACGTGCATTGTTGCTGCCACCTCAGAATGGCGGAAGGCTTCCAACTGCTGGATCACCATCCCTTAGAAGCTCTTTTGTTCGTAAACGCTAACGTTAGCAGGAACCAGTTCATACAAAGCGGGTCTTATAGCGAGTGTGGGCTTCAATCCTTAGCAGTGGAGCAGCGTTTTCCACTGATTTCCCTT